GCAAAAATTTTTCCCTTTTTGGGGAAACCAACCCTCCCCAGGCCCCCCCAGGTTCCAATTTTACAAAAAGTTCCCGGGGGGGGGGGGGGTACCAAGTTAAAGTCCCCCCCCCCCCCCCCCCCGCCCATTCCGGCATACTCATTTGAATATCACGAGTGGATGTAGACAAGAGAGACCTACTTCGATGCGACTCTTGCACATGGGCCGTGGCTCAGGGTCTTCTGCATCTAGGGTTCAACGCCATGGAGACAAGTGGGCAAGAGTTCGCCTAAAACGAGAGAGTCACGACCGTACCTCCTGCGGACAATGTAACAAGCACCAACAAAATGGCAATTCTGTAGGTTTGTCGACCATTCGTGCTATCTGTGTGAGATGGAGGCACAAGCGCAAACAAGAGTAGGTAAGGCGACCACTCGAAAACCACCGCCGCCGCCGGGCGTGTTGAGGCGCTAAGTCGGGGGCAAAGTACACGATCCGCCGTTGCCTTCGAAACCTCCTCGGGGCAGCGGCAACAACCGGGACCTACCGCCACAAACCGACCAGCTTCGTTTCCATCTCCCCACGCTCACCGGTTAGCGATGAAAGCGGGAGGGTCCATCCGAATGTCGCTCACTAGCACAGACTTCTCCGCGGTCGCTCCTGCACCCGCCCCGCCAGAGTGACCGAGGGCCAATGCCGATTCGCCGCCGCCCGCCCCCCCGCCGCCGCCGCCGGTGGCACCGGCGGCAGCGCTAGCGTCTTCCACTCCCGGGAAGGCCACGGTCTGCGGCAACTTGTTTAGTTCCTCGACAGTGAGCTGAGAGGTGGGGGTCGCCTCGAACTCAAGGAGGCGTTTGCGGACGGTGGCATCGCAAACCTTGACGGCCTGGCGGACAGAGAAGCAAGCAGGCAACAGGTCGGCCACAACCACCGGGGGAGAAAGCACTGAAGCAGCAACGGCAAACAATTGACGACTTAGACATCGACGACGATAGCGACGGCAAAAATGTTGAATTCTTCGGCAACAGAAACAAATCCGTTCTCTGCGCGAGAGATGTCATTCTCGACGCCACGCACGAGACGGGGTTCTCTGATTCGGCCAGTGAAAGGCACCATGGCACAGCACTCCTGATGTTCCAAACAGAAACGATGTTTGACGTGTTTTCGACATGCAGTGCCAGCTTCAGGCCTCAAAAGCAACAAGCTGTATTTTTGCGGAGATTCAACAAGATTGAAGCATAGATTTTCCCCGCACGCATCCTCCTTGTACTGAAAAACTTCTGCCGCACGCAGCTCGACACGGGGTTGCCTGCAATCGCCAAGTCGCTGCTGCAAGACAAACCCACAGACGGGTTCTCTCTCGCCGAATATGATCCCGTCGTTCTGCGTCAACGTTTGTCGATAAACCGCACGAACTAAAAGATAGCCCAGCATCTTGACCCCGAGCAGATACGCGTGCGCAGCCAAAGATAAAACGCGAGGACTCCAAAAAATAGACCAAAACCGAAGCCCTCCATGGTTTACCCGACCTTTCGGATCTCCTCTTTGGACCTCTCGATGCGGTTGACTCGCGTGGCCAGGGTAAGGGCTGCGCAGCAGATGCCCGCCGGCTGACGACCCGAGGCAAGGAAGTCCCTCTTCATCGAACCGATTATCTGGTAAATGAAAAAGATTGGTTGATTCTCGTGCTTGGGTTTTGCTTCCCTTCCCTTCCGATTCTCACGCGATTTCTAAACGACGGGGCTCTCGCGCTACTATGCGGCACGATATGGCCCGCAACGGGTGCGCAGATCGCCACCGCTGTCTAGTCTACACTATGTACCCAACAAGCTGCACAGCCCAACCACCGTGGTGTATCAGAGAGCGGGCTTGATCTACCGCGAAGCATAGGACGAGGTGGAGGAGGGCGCGCGCATAGGTTTGTTGTCCACCAAATAGAAGGAAAACAGACAGTGGGTGCTACCGCGCCGTGGCATGAGCGTGACACGAAGCAAACGAGAGAAGACACGACCTGCGGCTACTGGGAGATGTACCTTCAGAGCAGTCATGCACACCGCGTTCGTCTTGCTGCCAAGGTCCAACTTTGCGGCGAAGCGCTTGATGTACATCGCGGGGTCTACGATGGGGACCTGGGTCTGCAGATTGAGGTGCTTGATCAGCTTCTGGAAAGTCTGCACATGCAGACGTCCAATTTGCGCGCGTAAGACACGGGCGAGCAAAAAAGGGTTCAGAATGAAGCAAAGGCGGCATGAGAGGGAGCACAGGTGGGAAAGGTACGCGGCGCATGATGATGGCGGGCGAGGGGCGCACGCACGCGAGCGGGGGGGGGGGGGGGGGGGGGGGGGGGGGAAAAAAACCCCCGGGCCCCTGGGGGGGGGTTTTGGGTTTTTTCCCCAAAATGAAAAAAAAAAAAAAATTTGGCCCACACCTTTACCCCCCTTTTTTTTGTTATTTGGGGAAAGCCCAGGGGGGGCCCCCTTTTTTCCCACCCCCGGGGAAAAACCCCCAAAGGGGGGTTTTTCCCTTTCCCCACCCCCCGAAAAAAAAAAAAAGGGGAAGCCCCGGGGGGGGCCAAAAAACAAACCCCCCCCGGGGAAAAAATTTTTTCCTTTCCCCCCCCTTTCCCCCAAAAAAAACAACCCCCGGGGGGAAACTTTTTTTTTGCCTTTTTAAAAAAAAGGGGGGGTTTTTTAAA